AGTGAATCAGAACAAAAGACGCACTGTTGGAGGTGCATTTGCCAGATTGACTTACTACGAATTTTTAATGAGCAATTCGGTGTTACCCCACTTGACAAAAAATAAAGCAGTGTATAAGCCATAGTTAAACAGGGTGACCAATTATATAGATGGGCGATTAATTGTGCCTGTGATTGATTTTATAAGATCCTCTGCAGCTTCCCTCTCACCCTTTGCTTTTAGGTAGACTTCTACTGCTGCCATCATCATCCATTCTCTTTCCTTTTTTTTGCAATTGAAAGAGTTCATCCTCACTTCCCTTCCTTTATAAGCATTAATTCTTCCTGTATTACTCTGGTGCGCACATTCCCGCCTGTAATTAAATAAAATCTAATTGTTATACATCTATATTCGTAACAGTATAGTGATTGATTTGCACAATGTATATTTATGGTTTTGAAGTGATGATAGCTCAGTGGAAAGTATGAATTGGTGCTTTCAAATCCCATAATTGAATTGAGCTACTATAGTCGAATTATAAATTAGACTGAGTAAAATGTGATAATGTAATTAATTTGATTCAATATAATTAAGTTATAAAAAGATATTGATATATTTAGATTTACAAATTGCATTATTTGTGACCAACTTTTATGTAATTTGCAATGTTTATTCACTGATATCTACATCAATTGTAGGCCAACAACAAAATTTGTATTTTGATTTTTATACACTCGCCTGGCTGTTCTGAAATTTTCGAATTGATTTTTTTTACATTATTAACTTACCCTGTAAGGGGGCTGCACCACAGTCAGTCCGCCGGGACCCAGAACGACATGGTGGAGTGTCACGACATGATGGAGTGTCATGAATAGGCGTGATGTTTGCAACATGTCCTGAAAAAATCACCCTGATAGGGGTACGTACGGCCCTACCCTTGAATCAGGGTGATAAGGCCTTACACGACCACGCTGGCTCAGTGCAGACTGGCGGCGCCACAACACTCCCACAAAATTGTTCAAAGGCGTGTGGGTTGCATCACTAGGTTTTCCTTCCCCGTACGAGAGTCCGTTTCCATTTAGTATATGATTGATTGGTATATGATCGGTCCCGGGAATCGAACCCGCGACTTTCGGATCACAAGTCGGTGCCCTTAACCATTGAGCCACCGACGTCTCTTATTTTTGAAACAAATAGTAATATTTAATTAAAATCTAATAAACATTTAAATGTAAACTTGGTGTTTTATATCTATAAACAGATTTCATAACATGAAGATGACAGATTTCATAACATGAAGTTTTGTTCCATTCGGACTGATGTAAATATTATCATTTCCAGAATCAGGGTAGTCATATTTTTGTCCTTTACAGAAAAAATTCTTCGTCGCTTATGTCGTCGTCCATAATATTTTGACGTTTATAATTAGCGGGGCAGATTATTTTATTGTCCAAAATTGTGATTTTGCTGATGGATGGCTTAGGTTCTTGCTTTTGAAATATTTTCCTGTATTTAATTCGTTTAGGCTCATCGTAATCGTCATCAGTATCACTATTACTAACATTTTATATAATTTTTTTTACGTTGCTTCATTTTAGCAATCTGAAATCGACGAGCGCGCGTGCTCTTTCCGTGACTGCACAATACTACTAGCGGCTCAACGTGTACCCATCTGCACTGTGCGGCAACAGGTCGTCGTTGGGTCTTCGTGTCCCCTTACGGAGGCACGGATCGGGCCTCGNGTAATCGTCATCAGTATCACTATTACTAACATTTTATATAATTTTTTTTACGTTGCTTCATTTTAGCAATCTGAAATCGACGAGCGCGCGTGCTCTTTCCGTGACTGCACAATACTACTAGCGGCTCAACGTGTACCCATCTGCACTGTGCGGCAACAGGTCGTCGTTGGGTCTTCGTGTCCCCTTACGGAGGCACGGATCGGGCCTCGGGGCAATCCCCTCTGCCCGGACTTGAACTCCCTGCCTAACGAGGCAGGGGTGATGTTTGTTGCCTGTTGGTAATTCATTAAAGGTGATGATGAGCTGGTATGAGTAGGTATTGTTATATCTTAGGTTTAATTTATGTGGGAATGGTGATGATGATCATGGTGAATGACAATGATCATGCAGCGGTGATGATGATGATGATGAAGGTGATGATGATAGTGGGGGGGTCTACTCCCATGAAGTAGGGGAAGGATGGACGACCCTCCTACCTTTGGTCTCTTCTCTTCGTTCTTCATTCTTCCCTCTTCTTAATCCTCCTCCTCCTCTTCCCCAGCCGCTGCCGCTCCACCCGCCGTCGCCAACCGTCACGCAGCCCCCCGTGAGGATGTGTTTGTATTTTTTTTTTTTTTTTCCGTCATTGCTGGTTATCCAAAGAAATTTTGGGTCCCACAGCAAGGGGGGTTTTTAATTTTTTAATTATATTAATAATGTTGATGATAAACAATTGGTCTTACGGCTATTCTATGGAGTATGGGGGGAGATGGATTTACGGATCTGCGACGCCGCCGGCGATGGGAGATCAGCCTTCCAAGACACTTACAATTAAAATGGCAATACAAATACAATAGGATGGCAATACAGCAATTAAAATGGCAATACAGTAATCTAGTTTGGGAATTCTACATGGGCACTCAACTAATACGATAGAAGCAATCTAATAAATAAGTACTCTAAAAGCAATCTAAAGGCAACTACAAGCAAACAAAGCAACAGCAAAAACACAACAGTAACAATAATAAGCAAACAATAAACAGTAAGCGATACGAAACGAAAATTGATTATAACAATCCTCAAGAGCAATTGTCTATACAATTGCTCTGAGATTGAATTATATATATATATATATATATATATATATATATATAATATATATATATATATATATTTTATTTTTTTTCAATAATAACACTACAACATACAACAATACAGTACAACAAACGGCAATACATAAAGCATATATCTAATGTAAACCTACGTAAAGGGAAGGCTGACCAAACAGGTCGCTACCGGTCACCCACCTAAATAGGCCCGCTCCCGCACTAAGGTAACTTTTAAAGTCCTGTGCGGCGGATGTCGAAGATGACCTGATGCGTAAGTAAACTGCCAATATTACTTTATCTTGTCACAATTCGAAAACTATAGTTGTCTCTGTCATGCTCGTAAAAATGCCTAGAAAACCCTGTTTTGCACGATCGAAAAAGACTTGTTTATTCCGTGCGCACAGTGATTCGGCACAGTATCGGGGCGATTGTGGGTGACCCGCAGTGAATGTGTTAATCTGTTTTTGATTAGATGTGTGTAATTTTTTTTTATTATTCAAAAGTATTTCTCATTAACTTTACCATATTATGACAAGCAAGTAGGAACACAACAATATCGTAATGTGCACAAGACAAGGATGTCTAAAGTTTGTTTTAAAATTTTCTGCATTATCTATCTCGCACCCTAACCTTTTCATGGTTGCAATGTGACTTTTACAACCATCAAATGCTACCGAACGAATCTGAATCTCTATTTTTCACATTTTTCTAGTGCTGTTTTAATCAAATTGGCTTTCGTGTCTGCCTTCAAAGTTTCAATGAAAAAGTAAGCCAGTGGTAATTTCCAATTATCATTAATTGCAACCATCGTAAAGACGTATGACTGAGTAGCCATTTGATTGTTATCATCGCTTCCCAAACCCATGTCTACCAAACCCTCATAACGCTTGCCCGTCCATATTTTTTATCTCCTTATTGCCACCTCATCGGCAACAAGGGCGCATAATTTTTTTTGCCTAAATTCTTTTGCCTTTGCTCCTAACCTGTTTAAAGTTTCTGTACAAAATCCGGGATCCGCATCAACACTCTGATACCATTCGTACAACGTATTAGGGTGTGGTAAGCATGTGTTGAACATTTTACACACGTACTTATAAGTAGCAGGGGAGTAAAAATGGAGCGTTAAGGCCATTTTTCTGGCACCAGGTGGATATTTTGAAAAAGGTTTTTACGCTTTTTTTTTCTAGAAGTGCATCCCATTAAACACACAATGAACATTTTTTGACAAGTCTATCAATATTAAGACTGTCTTGAGTTAGGTTGTGGGCGTTGGCAAGAGGGTTTTTAAAAAGCGATTTGGAGGCGTGTGTTCGGCTTGAAGAGCGAAACTCAACTGCTTATCTTTATTGGATTACAACAATATATAGGCTTAGGCTAAGTACAAAGGTTTCCTGATACTACTTAATGTTGACAATAAAGGATGTAATAACAGAATATAATGATGTCTAAACTTAAGCTAAGTACAAGGATTTCCTGTTATTGAACAATGTCGACAATAGGAGACATGCTAATAGGATACTAATTGTATCATTTCAACCTGGTTATTGTGTGATAACGAGGTTATGATGATATAACTCCTCCCCCCTTAAGTAGGAGGCGTGCCGGAGGCTGCAAAGGCTGTTGCTGCTGTTGAAGTTCTTCTGCTGCTTTTACTGATGGCTGCTGTACTATGGTCTTCGCTGATTTTGGTTTCCAGTAGAACCTGTAAATTGCTGCTATAACTGCTGCCATGAGAATTGCGATATACAAGCATATTGATGACCAGCTAGGTTTGGTGGATATTATTTCTTCATTATTGTCTGGAAGTTGTGTTTTATCTATCTGCTTTAAGGCATCTTTTAGGTTGTCCAGTTCCAGATTTTCCATTTTTATTTTTCTAGGATGTACTTTAGGTGTTTCGTGTGTACGTGGTTAAAGGTATGGTTTCTTTTACGTTAACATATTTTTGATGTGTTGTTAGCGTTTTATCTAACACCTGTATGTTGCAATTATTGTCTATGGTTATTAGGAAAATTCCTTTGCTTCTTTGGTATTGTACATCATTACCACAAGTAGTTTTGATTACTTCTTCTTGTTTAAAGGCAATGATCCAGCTGTTATCTTTTATTTGTTGTACGATGTTGTTTTCGTAGGGTGCTGTTGCGTATGTGCAGTTATGTGGTTCTCGGTGCTGGAGTAGTTGAGCTATGCAGTCAGTAGAATTTTTCAAGTGCTGTCATTGCAGGTGTTTGCAGATTACGACGTCTTCTTTAATTTGGCTGCAGGGCTCGTGGGGGTACGCAAACTCGTCATTTCCCAGGCTTATGATAGGATTTTTAGGTATTAGGATTATGTTATTGTCATTTGGAATGGAATAGAGGTGTAGGAGGTTATAGGGTTGTTTAGCAACTAGAGGCACCTCCAGTATGCTGTTCAGAGACTCGTTAGTACCATATGCTTTGACAGTAATAGCTTTTTCTAAATCGTGAACATTTTTTATAATAGGAGTGAAAGCTAGGTTTGTATTGATGTATATTGGATCGACTATACTAGGGTGCATTTTTCCTAGGTTTGCAAAAGTAATGGCGTTTTCTAACGTTTCTAATCTGTCATAGAGCTGTTGAAACGATCTCTCTATTTCATCGAATATGCTTATGGTTAGCATATTTGTTTCTTGACTCACAATAGAAGTTGTTTGGTGATGTGACCTGATCAGTATTCTCTACTTGTATCCAGCAGACCTGTGCGATAGCTCCTTCAGCGTTCTTCTTCATCTGGGGAATAATATTGAAATTTCGATAATTTGACTGGAAACGCATCTTCCATTACGTTCGCGCTCTCCAGGAATGCTACTTGATCGTTGGTCAAAGTAGCTACACGTGCCCAACCCAGACAATTACGAGTAGGGGTTCCGGCTCCTCCTTCCTCTGGCCTCAATGCCTCGCGGAGGTTCCAATCCCTCACGCCTGGTGTACTTGTCACTTTAAGATCTTCCTGAATCCGCTGTCTACAGACTAACGGACTTGGCATCGACATATATTTCCAGTGTGTGGTACGACCTACTCTGCCGAAATCTCCGGTTTCGTTTGGCCATACTGGCATCCTTAGCTTGTATCTTACGGATGTACTGTCAACGACGTGACCTAATGCTTTGATATAGGCCTCGATCGGTGCTGGTAAATGGTGATTGCCTGAAAGAATCTGTCCTGCAAAGGAATCCTCCTCATATGTTGAGTCTCCCTCTTCCTGCTTCAATGTAATCAGACGAGCATATAAGCTCATAACACAAAAGTAAACCCAAGCTGACTTTGAAACTGTCTTCACAAAGTAAGGTTGATGTGTTGCTATAACATCATACTCCTTCTCACAAAGTGGGATGAAGCCCTCAGCTGTGATCGCAAACTCATTTGTCCGCCTGTAAGGTGCAACGCCTGGGAACCCCATCATATCGATGTCCGAAAACATGGGTTCGTTCCTCGGTTTAGTTGCTGTGGTAGAAAGATGATTAGATTGATTCTGTTGTGAATATTTGTCTATGGCTAGATAAATTTCGTCCTGATTGTTTTTTATGTTTTAAATTTTTCTCATATTCCTGAATGAATTTTCTCATTATTCCTAAAGTTTGCTTTTGGTTAGATGCCAGACTATTTATTATAGGATGAGTGTAGTTGTTTAATTTCGTTATCTATTTTAATGGCATCGTCTTGGTCTAAGTTACCTGTTATTGCTTTGATTACTGAGCCCAAGCCATAAATTAAGCCTCGTTTAGACCTGTATCCCGTCTTAAAACCTACTGTTTCTGAACCTAGATATAGAAGTCTATTTTCTATAGTGCTTATTATATAATCTATCTGTTTTGTGATAGTGGATATTTTAATAGTGCTGTTTTGTTTTAACCTAAAAGTATAATAGTTACTACATATGTCTAGATATATATTTCTTAAGCTAGATAAGTTATAGATAATTACCATGTTGAACGTGTCAACTTGGTATTAGGCTTGTGCCTCATTGAGGATAAACATTCCATTGTGGTTGTCTATTGGCTGGATGACGGCGTTGCTTGCGGCGAACCGGAGCATTGCGACGAGGGTGACGGTGTACCTGAAATATTTTCAGGGCGTCTTAGTAGACGGAAGTGCACTCTGATGGACTTCGCGTTTACATGTTTGCCTATTATTTCCGCCGTTTGTTCAGGGTGTAGTCTTATTATTGTGTAAGGACCTAAGTATTTTGGTTCTAGTTTGTTGCTGCGTGATGTTTTTGCGACTTGTTTATATGCTTTATCACCGACTTTAAAAGGTGCTATTTCTGTGTTCGTGTTAGCTTTGCTTATTACCACTTGTTTATTTTCTGATAATTTTTTGTTAATTAATTTTTGTACGTTGTTCATGATCTGTTTATGTTTTAGTACGTATTCCTGATAAAATTCTTTAGGGCAATGCATTTCCAATGAATTTCTACCGTCGGTATGACCATAGAGTAGCTCGAATGGTGTAAAGCCTGTTGCGGAATGGATGGTATTATTGTATGCTATGATAGCGTATGTCATTAAATTTACTGGGTCGTCTTTATCTGTGATTCTTTGTATTCTGATCATTTCAGCTAGAGTGAAATGAGGTCTTTCAATGGGGGAATTTGAGTTAAGGGTTATATGGTGTTGTAAAATGTATTTTAATGTTGTGCAGTGCACATATTTCTGTAATAACATCCTTGTCGAATTTGGAATCAGAATCTGTGGTTATTTTGTGTGGTGTTCCTATTACTGAAAATATTTTTGTATAATATTATACATCCCCGAGTGGTCAAAAGTTGGGCCTGACAATCCAGTGAACTCCTCCCTGACGCCCTTAAAATTGTTGATATCAGCGCACCAATCAAAATGTAAAACGTCAACTTCACCCGCAGCGATATTTCGAATGGCTTGGTCCTCTTCAGCGTCTAAGAGCATGAGTTCCGAGACCTCTGTAAAGTTCAAGTCGTCTATATCCTCGGCGACAACGTTCCTCGGGTTAAGCAGAGGGCGCAAGGAACAATCCTCCTTAACATCTTCATCCGGCTCAACTTCACTACCGCTATTTGGATCCATGTCGCGCTCGATCTCAACATCAATCTCGAGAGAAATATTAGATGCGGTGCTCCTGTCCGATCCAAACGTCTCTGTTCGAGAAGTGGCGGATGTAGGTGTGAAATTCACGTTGTCTACCTTTACTTCAGCTGTCACAGGGTTTGCGGGCAATTCCGAGGCTTGAACCACCTGCACTGATGGACTGAAATTAATGCGCCGCTTCTTCGCTCGAGGACCAGTTAGCTAGTTTTTAATGTCGCAATAAATTGGCCCGATGTGGGGTTTGGATTACATCCGCAATTACTTCTTATACACCCAAAACAGTTTTCAAGTGGATCTTGGTTAAGTCTTTTCACAGATAACGTAATAATATTATATGTCTTTAAATTACTGTACAGTCTTTCTATGCCATTTAGTGTCGTGTCAACCAGCCGTCTTGAGATGGGGTCTAATTTTTGCCCCTAAAAATTTCATTTCAATAAATGTTTAATTTTTTTGAAAAAATCTACATGAGAACTGGTTGGCGACGTATTTGTAAGGTACTACTTTCTTTTTGGGCGTATTTCCGTTCATACAGTCGAAAAGCTTGTCTATGTGTGAAACAACTGTCGCTGTTCCAATGGTGTCTTGGGGTAATGTTTTTCATCTTTCCACAATTTTGTACCTAATTTTACAATTAGAAACGACAAGTTTAATAATACACTAACAATAGTGTTTGTAATCTGTACATAAAATAAAAGTGTACATTTCACATGTCTGTACATTTTCAATTCTGGAGATATTTTATCGTCGTTTTCTAAAATTATTTCATTAAACACGTTTCTACAATTTTTAGAATTGTTTGCCTGTTTGTTTGTTCAGGCACCATTGCTAAAGTACTAAATTTACTTTAAAAATTGGTGGTAAAGTGCCCACAACGGTATAGTTCGCTACTGTTACTACTTGTTATGGAAACTCATTATTTCTTAAGTTATGGAAAATCTTTATTATACCTAGTCAGGTCATAAATTCTGTCACATGTTTAATGTAAAATAATTGAAACAAGTTTATTCATTATGTAACCATTCATATACCAAAATGAACTTAACAAAACATAGATTCTTATGACACTAAAGTTTATTCAAAATGACCTCCGTGATTTTGAATACAGGCCTTCAATCTGCGCAGCCAGTCGTCTATCGCAGCACGAACGAGGTCCATGTCAATATCGGCGGCTGCCTTAATCAAGGATGTCTTGAGTGACTCCAAATTGGGATGAGGCTTTGAGCACGCCTTTTCCTCCAAGTGTTGCCATATCTTGTAATCTAACGGATTCAAATCTGGACTGGAGGAGGGCCAGTCTTCGTGCCGGATGAAGTCGATTTCACGCGCCGCCAGCCAGTCTTGTGTGCTCTTCGCTCTATGAGCTGGCGCCGAATCTTGTTGGAATACCCAGTGCCTGTTATTGAACATGGTATGAGAAACAGGTTCCACAAGGTTCGTCAGGACTGTATTTTGATACACAACTGCATTCGTTTTTACACCTTTCTCACAAAAATGTACCTCTGTTAAGCCCCAATAAGAAACTCCCAACCATACCATGAGCGAGGATGGAAAATGACCTCGTTGGACACGCGGAATACGGTTGCTCGCTTCTTCACTACTGTGTGCGTACACCTTATCATTTTGTTTGTTGTAGCTCTCTTCTACGGTAAAAATTTTTTCATCCGAAAAAAGAATTTCCCGATATTTTTTTCCCGCGTACCGCTTCAACAAAGCGCGGCATCTCTTCAGTCTCAGGTCCATTAGACGAGCATTCAAACGATGTCCTGTTTTTCTTCGATATGCCCGAAGCCCTAAGTCTTCATTTAACACCCTTTTCACCGTGGTTCTGCTTAACCCCATCTGAAGGGCCAACAGTTTCTGCTTACGTTTGGGATTTCTTTGAATTCGCGCCTTCACAGCTTTTATCACTGCTGGAGTCCTAACAGACCGAGGGCGACCACTTCTTGACCTGTCATCTACACTAGAGTCTTCATTGTATCGTTTGATGGTACGATAAACGAATCTTTTGGTTATATTAAAATTTTTCAGTATGTTAAAAATTTGAATTGGCGCGTAACTGCAACGATGCAACGCAATAACTGCAACACGGTCTTCTTTAAGCGTCCACTCCATATTTAAAAATGACTAAAATTCTAAAAGTATACATTTTTATTTTCATGAACAATTCGAAATTCGAATTCAATAAACTTTTTTGTGGCCAGCATTCTAAAAGAAAAGTTTTTACTGTGTGACAATACTTATGACCTGACTAGTTAATTTTGGTAAGAAATACCAATTATAATTAATAATAATTAAGGCACAATACTGAGTACAATAATGAATGATTTTAATCGCCATAATAATGCGCTGCTGCTGAATCAAGTTCTATACCGTAAGGATAAATAACTATGAAAATTGGTAAACAAAGGTAATTGAACATGCAACATATTTTCTTACTATATAGTTTGGAATAATTCACAATTAGATGACACTGCTTTGCATTGAATTGAATTCGGCTAGATACTTTTAAAACTTACCATTTAGAATATAGGACAGTGACTATTACGAAAATTTCGTAATTTGAGCAGTATCCACACTGCCAATTTAATAAAACACAATCACAACGAGCGTAAAATTAATATTA